CAAGAAGTTAATGTTCCAGTTGGTACCTTTTGTTAGTTTACTTTATAAATTACCGAATTTGTTGCAGTTGACACAATTCATTAGTAATTTGTAATTGATTCAATTGTCATACATGACTGGGGTAGCTTGCTGGAAATCAAGCCCTGCTATTCTCAGAGCCATCATAAATGTTAAAAATTTTAATCAAAGTTCACAAGAAAGCACATTTCAGGTTTCTTTCCTTAACAACAGTTACTATTTAATGAAAATAAATAGATTGTTGCTCCACATCTAAATAATGAACTGTGGACATATAACTCTACTAATTAAAACTATCACCCACACATGCATGCAGACAAGACACAAAAAAGAATGTTGATGTTATGGGTGGAGTGAAAAACTAGAATGGCAATTCTGAGGAATGGTCACTGGACCTGAAACGTTAACTCTGTTTTTTCTTCACAGATGTTGCCAGACCTGCTGGGCTTTTCCAGCAACTTTGTTTTTGTTCCTGATTTACAGCATCCACAGCTCTTTCAGTTTTTATTTTATAAGGCAATTCAATGGTCTCTGACCACAGGGATCACTGAGAGGATCCTGTTTGACTTGTCAGGACTTGTTGCTCCTCGTTCTTGCTTCTCCAGATACTTTCATTTACTTGCACAAGGCCCAGGATGTTCACAACTTATAACATTGCTGATTCACTGGTTAAAAGCCAACTGGTAACTACAAAATAAATTGGCTTTCTCCAGGCTTTAGGTGGTTTTACTGCAGAGAAAAAGGACATCTCACCTTGCAGCGGTCCAAAGCGTTATGGTTATATCATTCACACCCACAACTACTTTTCGACTACCTGGAATCCAGTCGCAAAGATGTTGTCAGGCAGAAGATCTCTGTCATCAACAATTGGTCACCGGCCCACAGACCAACCAGTTGACAGTGCTAGTTTGTCTGCAAAAACCTTTCCCCACTGGTTAAACAAATAAACTGTAATCAAAACGTAAAATAAGTGCAGGCAGCTTGCTTCAAAAAAAATCCTTTGTTTTTGAAACGGTCCTTTTCCCATTTTAGTCCACAATCCAAAATACAAAGAAATAGAAAATATGGTCTTTACACAATATGTTGTTTTAGTTTCTACAAGGTAAAACAGACTCACAGATGGTAAATTTGAAGAAGTTTATTTAAAGGAGAAAGGTGTTCTTATTAATACAAGACAATTTTTTACAAGTTCAACCCTCTTATCAGAACAAAAATGTATATCCCTCTTGCATTCTTCTTTAGTTGTGATTCTCCAAGAATCCTACCTCAAACATTTACAGTAACTGGCTAACAAGGAAAACTGTTTGAGACCTGTTTAATCCCAAAGGAGCCATTAATTCATCTCAAATTGGGCTGACTTTAACTTGATAATTGGTCAGTATTATTACTAAATTAATCCGTTTGGATTATCCTAGGCAAGAATACAATGGAGTTCTTATCTGATTTTCTACTACCTTGTATTCACTATTCAGTTCTTTGTAAGGTCAAGTAGCTATGGCCTAGCTCCAATCAAGGTCGGCGTGATTTGTTGTTTGCACATTTCATCCGTTTGTACATTCATCCCAACAAACAGAAACTACAATGGCTAATTAATGATAGTAAAACAGGCTTATGGGATTTTCAGCAGTCTTTTAATAAAATGATTTATTAATTATTGATTTTTTTAAGCATAACTCAGTTGACCCTTACTACTTCATCATCTGCTCTGACGAGCCAGTAATATTATAATTCCTCATTAGTATTTTTAAGTAATCACATGTTATAGAATACAAAGTGCTTTCCTTAAAGAAACATCTATCTCACAATACCTTCCTTTAATTTTGTTAGTTTACTGCAGTGAATAAAAAATGAAAATCGACTAAATGGTCAAACTATAATAAACCCACTAACCAGCTCCAGTCATGTATTCTGGTTGAGTAACGTTGCAGGAACTTAAATGTTATAATCACCATACAAAGCTAAGTACCGGTATTTTTACTGTATAATCTTTTGACACTTTTGGGAGGTTTACAGCAAGCTAATACCAAGCAATCCAGCAATATTTGAAAATGTGTAATTTATGAGGTTTCTCTTCCTCACCACATTGCTGGGCTATTTAGTAATCTAAGGTTACATATGAGTTTTCCTTTCATTTTCCCAGCAATTTAAGGCAGGATGTAGTTAACATTTTCAAACATTGAAGCACAACTAATAGGTGTCATCTGTCACTGTGAATTTTTAAGTGACACCAAAAAATTGAGATTGAAAAATTAAAGGAACCAAGCTTTCCATTGTTTCAAGAAAGGGGATTCGGGAGATCAATATGTGGCAATTTATTAATAATACTTCAAAACACTAAGGATGTTAACTAAAAAAAAATTAAATGTAGAGTGATTCTCAATTTTATTGCAGTTTCTATCAGTTGAAGAATGAAATGGTTTGATAATCTGAAAAAGGAACACATTGGGAGTGCTCTAGTAAGCTCCAGTGTCTCAGGGAGAAAGGCCCAGATGATAAACAAGTTATAGACCAGGGCACTTATCAAATAAAGGATGAATGAATTTTGAATAAAAATGTTTAAAAACTGCAGATGCTGGAAATCTGAAACAAAAACAGAAAATGCTGGAAAAATTTGGCAGGTCTCGCAGCATCTGTAGAGAGAAGAACAGTTCATGTTTCAAGTCCTATGACCCTTCATCAGAAATGTGAATTTTGAAGTTAGTTTTAATTGTAAATCCAAGGCGATTGTTAGTAAAAGTAAACAGGTGTTTGTAAATTTCTTCCAGAAATTAATTTATACTATTCTTATGTTATCAGGTCCTGGAAGAGCATTTAGAACGGTAAGAGTTCATTATATTCTATCATTGTTACCAGTGAGTATTTTATTCATGATTAGAAAAACTAAAGTTACAAAACAATAATAACCTATGACATCTTGTATTGTTAGAAATATTTTCCTTATAAAAATGAAAGAATAAGACTTAGCCAGCAGACAAAAGCGCCTTGATAGTGCATTTTACATCCTTTCAATTAGTAATATTAGGATAATTACCTTAAAATTTCTTGTTAAAGTTATAACTCCACTGCTGCTCCTCTTTCTTCAGGAGCAAGTAAGCTGCAGCCGACAGCTGATGGTATCTTTCGTTGCGAATTAATTTAACAGCAGTCGTCCATTGCTGACTCAATTCCTCCATGTAGTTAGTTGCTGCTTTTCAGAGGAATTAGTAGGTTACTGGCAGCCTAGAGTTCAGCTCAGTTCTGTGTGCATATGTATTGATTGTGTGAACTCAGTAGGATCTAGGACTGGAGTCTCAGCAATTGTGTTGTTGTAAAGGGATCACCTGACTGTACCGCAGAAGCTCTTGTGTTTAAACTAGTCCATAAGATCATTGCTGGATTTTTTTTTATAAATCTGAAATTTCATAAGTGATAAAACAGCTGTGCCAATTTCAAACAAAAATAGAGATTGTTGGAAAAGTTCAGGTCTGGCAGCATCCGTGGAGAGAAATCATAGTTAACGTTTTAGGGTCGAGTAACCCTTCCTCAGACCAACTCAACCTGAAACGTTAACTCTGATTCCTGTCCACAGATGCTGCCAGACGTGCTGAACATTTCCAGCAATTTCTGTTTGTGTTTCTGATATACAGGACCCGCAGTTCTTTTGGTTTTTTATTTTGTGCTAATTACATGTAGACCTTTGAAAAAGTCGGGATGTCCCTTGGTGCTTTACAGCCAGTGAGATGCTTTTAAGTGACATCACTTCTGTAGTGTAGGAAATATGACAGTCATTTGGCGAACAGCAAGCTGCCAAGATAGCAACATTATGATGACCAGATTATCTGACTTCAATTTGGGTTGGGTGAAAAAAGTTGGGTCAAGGACGAGGAATAAGTCTTCTAAGCATTTCTTCAAAATAGTGCCAAGAAATTTAAGAGGGAAAATGGGGTGTGAGATTAAGTTTAACATTTAAACTAAGATGAAGCAACTTTGACAATGTAAGACTCCCTCCATACTACTGTCTTAATGACTGTCTTAATTTTTGTACTCATGTCCTGGAATGGGATTTTAACCCAGAATGTTCTGACTGAAATGTGAGTACCACTTTCTGAGCCACAGTTGACGGTTACCAGCTCTTCTTTGTATGGAGCTTCAACCCAGTTAGTTGTAGGATAATTTAAATTGGGTATCTGAGCCAATTATCCCGTTTTTTTAAATGTATTGTGGTAACGTCAGATTTTCACACTGCAGGTTTAATGTAGTGAGCAGATTTGGTTTTTCTTCATTAAAAATATGTTTATTTAAATTATTATATGTGTCATATTTTGTGACAGAATGGGTCAACAATGTGATGTCACAAAA